TACCAGGTTTTGTATAGATATTGATGGCCGCTGCTTCTTTTCCAAGACCTCTGTCTGATTTTGAGGTAATTCTTGTTTGAGCTCTGACTCCTTTATCCCAATCCTTGTGGTTACAGCAATGAATACCTTCTTTTGCAACTTGGTGATGTTTTCTTTTGCATTGTTGGCAACTTGTTTAGATGATTTAATTGGCCACATTTCAACTGGAGATTTTAGAAATGCTGGGCCTTGTTGCCACTTGGAGTCAATATCAAGATCTTGAGGGCTGGCTCCTCGGGTAATGATGTCAGCAATGTTTTGATTTCCCGGAATCCACCACCAATCTTGGACTCTTGTGTTGTTCTGGATCTCTCCAATCCTATTAGCAAAAAATTATTGAAACCCATAGCTTTCTCTTTGAATTGCTCCAAGAACTGTTTGGCTATCAATGAGGTGATACCACCTCCCAACTTTGATTTGGCTCTGCATCTCAAAGTACTTCTTTAAGCGTGATGCAAACACTGCTCCGCATATCTCTGCTTTAACAGCCTCACCTTTTTGTTCCAATGGAGTAAGCTTCGCCTTGGACTCCACCAGCCTGATAATTGGGTCTTGAGCTGATCCCCACCTCAGGTACAGCACTGCTCCATAAGAAGATTCACTTCCATCTGAAAATGTGATTGCTAAAGAGTCACTGCTGTTATGGAAAGGAGTTAATGCCCTGGCAAACTGGATCTTACCAAGCTGAGTGTACTCTTCAAAGAGCTTGATTGCATCTTCTCTCAGGTCACTTGAGAGTGCTAAATCCCAGGTGTCTTTTACTTGGTTACTCACGTTCTTTGCCTCTTGGAAAGCTTTCCGCACCAGGATTGCCCCCTTCTGTTTTGCAGGAGTTACCAGGCCAATTGGATCATAAAGACCAGACACCTGACTGAGGAGCTCTCGCCTTGTCAAAGGGTTTGGTGTTTGAATTCTGATTTGGTCCAACTGGAGGTCTTGTCCAAGTCGCATTTTCTTTTTCTTCTTTGAGAAATTTATGCCGACCATGACATAAAGTTGATCCTCCTCCACAATGTACCCCAGACCGAGTGCCTTATTGTCCTCATCCCGCATTTGGTTTGGCAGAACCATAGTCTTTACTTTCACTTCATCTTGCTTGTTGTTAGAATTTTTCCTGCCACTTTGCCCAGAAAACACCCAGGGTTTGAGTTTGAAACCTCCAGCTTTGAGAATGCGCTCCACATTTTCTGTGATTTCCTTTAATCTGTCTGGGTCATTGTGGGACGTTAGAATGTCGTCAACATAGCTGTTATTCTGAAGGACTTGTCGCTCCTCTTCAAGATGAATAAATGAGGGTAAATTAGCAGTTTCTCGCATCGCTAGCTGTGCAATGCATCCTGCAGGTTTATCTCCAATGTTCACTCTTGTAATTGCATAATCTTCAACTTTTTCCTCCTCAGAATCACGCCAAATGAATCTGTGCAGATGAACTTCTCTTTCCTCCAACCAAACAGAGTTATACATTTTCTTTATATCTCCTAATGCAGCATACGTTCCCTCTCGGAATCTTAATAATACAGCACGAATCTGGTTTAGGACATCTGGGCCTTTTATCAGCAGGTCATTCATACTGATCCCTTTAAATTTCTGACTGCTATTCCACACAAGTCTTACAGGAGTCGTCACTGAATGTGGATTTGGAGCAATTAGGTGGCTTACATACCACACTGGGCCATCCCATTTGTTGATTTCTTCCTCAGACAATTTAATTGCAGCTCCACGCTGAAGCATGTCATGCACTTGTTCAGTGTAAGCAGCTTTCCAGTCAGGTTCTTTAGCCAATTGCCTCTCTGTCCTAAAAAATGTAGCTTCGACTGCATTTCTGTTGTCTGGCAGGGATGCTGGATCTTCTAACCATGGATACTTAGCATGCCAGTGAGGTTCGTCCATGTGGCTGTCTCCTTCACTGTAGCTAAGGCCTTCCTTCACTACTTCAAGCTCCCTTTCTTCAGCGAGCGTCATCGCCTTTCCTCCGGGCTGACAGTTCCCACAACGACAACCTCCACACTTAGGTTCACAAGCCGCACCGATACTGTCCCATCTCCACCACTCCAAGAAATCCCGGCTTGTGGTTGCAGTCTTTGATGTCTTGAGTTGGATGGAGACCTGGTCATTTGGCGGCGGTTTCTGTGAAACTTCATGAATTAATTCCTCATATTTCACAGCAGCTGTCCTCATGGACCTTGCAAAATGTGTTTTGGTTGTATGAGCAGTCATGGAAAGTTCCTCAAACAATTCTGGATGGGTTCCTCCAATCACTTTTCCTAAGGGCCCATCCCACAGTACAAGGTCCCCCACAACTCTAATTCTTTGTGGTGTCAACTGACCTTCCCGGTGGCTTATAAGTAAGCTTATTTCTCTAGGTCTTACAAGTTCATCTAGTGATACATCTGGAAAAAATCTTTGCAGCTGCTTCGCTTTTGCGTGTTTATGAATATCTGCAATGCTGTCAAGACCATAACAAACAAGCTGGTAAGGTTTCAGGGTGCCTTTGGAAGTTTTCACACGAATCTTCAGGAGGTAACGTTTTGTCTCCACACAAACTTTCATCCCTCCAACTCCATGGACAATGAGTGTGATCTCTTCCCATTTGAGGTTTAATCTGCTTGCAGCTTTGTGTGTTATTTATTATTGTGTGTTTTCCCCTCTTAGATTGGTAAGCGATGCTTCAAAGGCCATTTCTCGCTGTGCAGACCATTTCCTCCAAATACATGCAATGGAGAACCCCTTGCTGTTGAAGATGGACTTAAGAGACAGCCCTGCAGAAAAAGCCATGGCTCTGATTTCTTTCTATAAGCGACCAAATGTGCAATGGGCATGCCCCCTTAATTGTAGGCTTGAAGGTAAAGTAATTAAAAGTCACAAGTTTTACACATGTTTGCATTTCAAAGTATGTTTGACCTGTCAAACCATTTACCTTGCAGGAGATGTTGCTGTAAACCGCTTTTTCTTTTCAACTGTACTGGAAAAATTTAAGTCAGGTTTTTCTATAAACTTTGGTATGTCATTTGTGTTCACTTTATATCACACAAACATCTGTTATGTGTAAAAGCTCATTGTTAGTTAATCATGATAACTCAAACTTCAAGTTTCATGTATTGTAAATTTTGATATGAAGAAGGTACAATATTTCTAAAAATTAATGAAATCATTACCGTGTAGCCAAAATATAGGTGAGGCAGTATAGGGTTAAACATTGGTCTTTATGCATCTGTATTCATTATTTTCTTATATTGTTGATTTATTGAACAGGAAACTCCATTGTTACACGACTTTTCGAAGGAGAACCTGGCCACTGGGTCCCATCAGCCTCTCACTTTCTTGTTGAAAGTGACATGTTTTTAGTGGCTGGCAGAATGATAGGCCACTCTTTCCTTCACGGAGGACCACGCCTGTCCTGCTGTTATTCATGTTCTACTTGGCGGCAGTCCAGAAACAGCAACTGTCCCCCTGGAGGACTGCCCAGACCTAGACATCAGGGAAACCATCAGTACTGTATGCCCCCCAATTCACAAAAATAGAATTTTATGTGTATTACACTATTCTAGTTCTTTCTTTCTTTTTTCCCCTCTGAGTTCTTTGCGATGTCTTTTGCAGCTCGAGGGAGAATCCAGGCTCTCTGATACTCAAATGGAAAGAGTACAGAGCTTGGTATATTTTTTTATATTTTTACTCTTTAACTTATGTTTTAAATGACATTTTATTTAAAATCCAATTTTGATACACAGAAGGATAAAGAATTGTTTAGGTTTACCATTGTTTTTACATTTTTAAATAGTCTGGCACCAATTTATCTAAAGTGTTTTCTATAAACATAATCAAAGGTAAGAGGTAGAATCTTTCAAACAAATTGTTTTATATCAATTTCTTTAGATTGCCTAACAGACAAATGACAACTTTTAAAGTTTAAGCTCCTATCCTGAAGAACAGTATCATACCTTCTCAGATGTCTTGCAAAACTCAAGTTATTAACTTTTAAAGATCAATATTTTTACATTAGTTGTTAATTGTAAAGATTGTCATATCTTCAGTGTCACATGAATTACCATTTTTGTATACATTGTGTTTTACTGTATACCGCTTTGATCCCTGTTATTAGTTTCAATTACCAGAGCAGCATAATGACTGTAATGAAATTAGTTGTTTAGAAATAAACTATTACCATTTTCTAAAATAGGTTCTTGGACGCGTTGCAAGACAAATAAAGCAACTTAGACGAGGTTTGAAAGAAACCCCAATATGGTCCCTGGTAACTCGGCGACCTGATGCTGTACCCCTGCCTTTTCAAAGGGAGGAAGCGTCCCTGTGTCCAGAGGTATATTTAAATAACTGGAATTATGGTGTTGCATCTGTTATTTTAATGTAATTCCTTTAATATAACACATTTTCTTTACAAACTTCTGTTAAACCCAAAACAATTAGTTTTTTCTACCATACTTAGGTGGTACTTCAGCATATCACTTGGCCAGAAATGGATGATGAAAGTGATGAAGATGATGACTGCTCAAAGGAAACCATATGCCGCATTTCAGGATATCTGAAACAGTTCATTGCAAATGGTAATGTTACCAGTGTCTGATTGGAGATTTTCAGATGACTTTTCAATGAAGCATCCCTGTAGATTTTTTTTCTTAGTTGCTTGCAGTGGTACCTCACAATTCAGTTTTAATCTTAGCTCAAAATTCAAACAGCTGAATTGCATGCATGTTTGTGTGTTCTCTCTGTGTAGTCTAGCTCTATCCCAACATGTGGCTCCAGTTACTTTTGTCTTTGGAACATACAAAGTTATCCATATGTTGCAGATATATGGTAAATTGATTTGAAAGTGTGATTGTGGCTTTGCTCTCTTCCAAAGCCACACCACCTGAACTGAAAGAGTTGATGAAATTCGGGACCGGTTGGGAAAATCTGCCATCAAGTCTGTCGGTGGAGATTGTTCATGGGAACTACCCAACAGCTGCCACATGCTGCGAAACACTAACACTTCCCTGTCATTACAAGAATGACAAGTCATTCAGTGAGGACTTCTTAGCATGCATTTCCTCTACACAATCTGGATTTGGCTTGCTCTGAGTGATCGACTTGTTAAAAAAAAAAATCTGCACTTAAGCTGTAGTAGTTCTTTGTGAAGCAGCTTTGTTTAAACAGAACAGTTCTGTTGAAATATTGAATCAATTCAGTTTTCTGATTTTTGTCAGATCACAAGTTCAATACATACA